GATTTATTTATTCATACAGAACTGGGGTACAGGCCAGAGGTGCAGGAGTGGTGAGAGGCTTCACCAGAGACAGAGTGGGGAGCAGAACAGGCAGATCCACGAAGTACACTGCTGAGGGGAGCAGCGGGCGGGTCAGGAGAGGTCTGCCGCGCCATGTGGTCACCTCCGGGGCAGGCGGGAATCGAACTCATGCAGAAGTGGCTTTAGCTTCTTAGTGCGGTGCTTTAACCCGCTGCGCCACCAGGGAGGGCCAGGATACATACTTTTAAAAACTGTTATAACTTACACTTGTAACATTTAGGAAGTTGAGATCTGAATTTAGGGGTGCTGGTTACCTGCTTTATCACCCTCTGGCTTCTCCTCCATCATTAGGAGATAAAATGACAAGTCTCAAAGCAATGTCCTAATCAAACAGTGAGCCTGAAAAAAGTGCTAAACTGCAGCTTCAGTGACAAAAAGGCCAGTTGATGGCACCAGGACTAAGTGAGAAGGGAATGATTTTCTGAGAAATGCTTAAGAATAATTCACATGTCAAAAGTTTTGGTTTTCCTTACAAGATGGGACTGAAAATAAAGCAGTCCTTTTAGACCTCACACAGTTAGCTCATCCTCATGGTCTAGCTGCCTGAAATCCCAAGTGCTGACCCCCTCCCCAATGGAACTTAGGGGAACTGAGACTCAGGCTTGAAAAGGACTGTGTCATTGCCTAGGTTGCCACACTGAAGACACTGTACTTTTTACCCACAATATGTTCTACAGTTTATTCCTCAAATAAAAAAAGTGTAATGGACCCAGTAGGAATACAGTTACCCTTGATTTTGGGGTGGGGATGGTGACCCAAAGAGAGGGAGACCAACCTGGGTCAGGTCTAAATAGGCTTAATGCTGCAAAGCTCAAGAACCAGCTAATGGAGTGGATAAAGAGGTAAGTTTTTAATTCACTGACACCAACACACCATTCAGTTTTTTGTTTTACAAACAGCTCTAAATCCACAGAGAATCATAGCTGTCCTGTGTGTGCACACTACTGCGATTTTCTGTATGTTATAATTATGACATTTAACAGGAACTTTGTGTTTATCAACTGCTCTATTAAGACAAAAACATCAGGCCTCCCTGATAGCCTAGGGGTTAAGTCTCAGCACTATCACTGCTGTGGCCTGAGTTTGATCCCCGGCCAGCGAAGATCCACATAGCGCAACAGGACTCTCCTACCTCCCTACTGCTCCTTTCAGTAGGGAATTTCAGTTGATTCACCTGTTCTGCAACCCACTCTTTCTTTGGTGAATCCTCACCCTCTAACCCTCTACACCTCTGGCCAGACCCCAGTTCTTGTATGCATGAATAAATCTAAAAAAAAAAAAGAGCTTCTTTGACTTCTAAAGCTCTATGATGCCTTGCATCATAGCACTTAAAATGTTTTCAAAGCACTCTCAAATGTGTTAATTTGACATAGAGAAGGGGCGCATACTGGGCCCTCTCTGGTGGCTCAGCGGGTTAAGGCACAGCACTGCAAGCTAGCCGCAGCCTCTTCACTTCACTGTAAGTTCAATCCCCTGCCCTGGAGGTGATCCACAGGGTACGGCAGACCTCTCCTGTCTCATCTGCTTCTCCCCTCAGCAGTGTACTTCCTCGATCTGCCTGTTCTACTCCCTACTCTGTCTCCGGTGAATCCTCTCACTGTCCCTGAGCCTCTGGCCTCAGAACCCCAGTTCTGTAGGCATTAATAAATCTTTTTTAAAAAATGAAGGGATGCATACTAGGTATATTATTTTGGGCAGACTTATTGGAAGACCATTTGGTATTCCATTTTTAAAACTAAATTTGTCCTTTCTATAGTTCGTGTCTTTATCTTTTGTAGTAGCTGGTGGAGCTGTCCTCTCCCTAGATCCTTAAATAGTCTTAGCTTATTATCCTCAACTTTTTCTTGACTCTTCCTCTCAAATTTTCTGCTTTCATCACTGAAAGGCCACTAATGCTCTTTGGCCAGCAGGACATGTGTCAGTGTCTCACTATAAGATTCAGATACCTGTTTCTACTCTGTAACATGGAGGTAATCATACCTGGGTGAGAAAAAAAAAAAAATCAGACATGTGGCTGCAAATGAAAGGGCTTAGAGAGGCCCTTTGGATAAACTACCAAGCTAGAGAAACCTTTGTCTCACACATAACACACCATGTAAACTTTTATCTTAAAATTTACAAACCCCACAAACCCAGTTAGCAAACTGATTATGGCCTTTTGTTTTTCAATCTTGGAATGAAAAGGCACCAAGAACAGTGACCTGGAATATTATTTTACTCAGCATGGTTCAATTTAAGAAGCATTTGGAAACCACGAAATAACCAAAGACATACTGTTGGGTGAGGTCATAATCATGGCCTATGAATTCAGGTGCCAAGGAGACAGTTATGATGCCTGGAATACAGGCAGACTTCCCAACAGGCTCCAGTTGTAAGATTAAAGTCACCCTCACTGAAGCAAATCCTAGTTTAAATGAGAAGATTGCTAAGAATTACTTCATATAGTAAGACAGTCACAAAGGAGAATAAAAATGAAAAAATTATATTAAAAAAAAAGTGTATTTAAATGTACACCTGTGCATTTAAGCCCTTCCATGTTTAATGGTTAAATTGCAGACTTAAGGTTTCACAGTTCCTCATGTACTGCTGTAGCGAACAGGCCCCATAAATGACAAACTGTCTGGGTATAAAAATCAATGACACAAAGCAGTACCATGGTTAACTGGCACTAAATGCCTCAATTAATTAGTGTCATCATGACTGCTCTTATCCCCATCAACATGAAAGATCCATCTTCAAAAGCTTTCTACAGGAAGCTTTCAAGGCAAAAGAAATAGTTGAGCAATGTGATAATACAGTAATCATATCCTCCACAAAAATTATAAAACAGTGGTGTTTTATAAAACTTGTGTTTTAACAGTACAAAATCTTCATTATGGGGAAGACTAGGTGAGATGAGCAGTTATTATATTGAATACATTTACTTGAATTTGTGAAGCCTTTACTTCTGTTTTCTACATTCAAAAATAACTTCTGTGGAATCTATGAACTAACTTTTTAGCAGTTTATAAAGGTTTGAATAAGGCATTTCTCTTCTACAGTCCAATTCATGAAAGGCAACTTCCATTGCTGCATTTTATAAAAATATGCATTTTATTTATGCATACAGAACTGGGGTACCAGTCAGAGGTGCAGGGACTGTGACAGGATTCACCATAACAGAGTAGAGAGCAGAACAGGCCGACTGATGAAGTACACTGCTGAGGGGAGCAGTGGAGCGGGTCAGGAGAGGTTTGCTGTACCATGTGGGTCACCTCAGGGGATAGGATCAAACTCATGCTAAAGTGGCTTTAGCTTCTTAGTGCTGTGCTTTAACCCGCTGTACCACCATTGCTGCATTTTTAAAAATTAAGATTGTACCCAAAAAATATTAAAAAAAAAGTTTATTTTAGACATCATTTTGTGCCTTTTTCCATCTCAGTTGTAACCCTCTTGGCTTCCCATCACCAAATCACCCCTGTGCCATCACCATAGTCCAGTGTATTCCCCTCCCCGTTTTTGATTCCATTCCCCACTCCACCCCATAAAATGTCTCTGTGTACCAAAAAATTTAATGTAAATTTAGAAATGATATGAGCAATCTCACACCAAAACATTTCACCATATCGGTTAACAAGATTGCTGTCAGAATCCTGAACATGGAGATGTATGATACTGATTTAAAAGTCACCTAAATCATGCTGTCAAAAACAAAACACACTCAAACTAAAAGTTTAGGGGGTGGGGAGCCCTCCCTGGTGGTGTATCGGGTTAGGACGCAGCACTGTAAGGTAATGGCATAAATAATGGTGCTAGTTTGATCCCTGGCTCCAGAAGTGAGCCACATGGCACATCAGACCTCTCTTGACAGGTCTGCTGCTCCCCTCAGCAGTGTACTTCCTCAGTGGGCCTGTTCTGCTCCCCACTCTGTCTCTGGTGAAGCCTCTCACTGTCCTTGGCTTGTACCCCAGTTCTGCATGAATAAATATTTTAAAAAAATGAGTTCATCCAATTTTCTAGTCAAAAGCGATGCTCTACCTCTTGCATGGTTGGAAACTAATCAATAGTACTTGATTGAGTTAATGTATGGGGCATTAACATGACTCAGCTCTTGAGACATTCTGCAGTTGTCACAAATATTAGTTCGTGTGACCAACTGAAACTAGTGACAGATACTTGACTTTTTTTTTTTGGTGGGTTGAAACAGGGTCACTGAAAACTGCTGTGTGCATGCTTAAAAATAACTTGATTTAGGTTAGGTATTAAGTGAGTCTAATAATGACTGGTGGGCATAACAATGGGGGTGGGCGGTGCCCAATCAACTTAAGTTTGGACTCTTCCATACACATACACGGATGGGGTCTGGAACAGATCGAGTTACAGTTAATAAATAATAGGTTTTCTACGAAGCAAAGAGAAGGAATGCTGCCTCTAGGCCCATCTGTCACTCCCAGTGCAAATATCCCCAGCACTCTGGCTCCTCAGGAGCAACACCTTCTGACAGGGAAGTCTGGGAGTTTGGGAGCTGGGAGAGCAATCTGAGATGGTTAAGGCTAACCAGTTAGTTAGTCAAGGATAACTCGTCTGAAGAACGTGATCATGAAATGGGCTGGGAGCGCACAAGAGCGGGACAAGGCCTGGTAATGACTACGAGGGCACACTACGTGCTAGATTGCTGAAGGTGAGAGGGTCGTCGGGGTTTCTCTACAGTGGGCGCCTCCCCCTCCCCTCTAGTCCTTGATGATCCTTTCCAGCTCCCCAGCAGCTCAGGGAAATCGGCTCAGGTGTCTGAGCCAGTTTCACCTCACCGCCACCAGCGCCTCAGGTCGAGTCAGGGTCGTCAGCCGGGAAGCAGGTGTCCAGGCTCCCAGTCCTAGCTTCAGAGCCCTTGACAATGGTGGGCTACTATGGGGATGATTGGCTTCTGAGTGCGCGCTTACCTGGCCTCAGCATTGACCTCATGACCCCAAGGTTCTGGGGAAACCGGAATCGCGGACGCAGCAGGATAGACAGCGTGCTCCTAGATCTGCGCACGCGCCCTACTCTCGCCGCGGCTTCTCTGCCCTACTAGAGACGCGCTCTCACTAACTGCGCATGCGAGAAGCTAAGGCTTCCATCCCTCTTGGCCTTCGTAGTTGCCAGAGAGCCAATCAGAAGTGAGGATTTGCCAAAAGCCCCGCCCACCCTTCCCCCTCCGCCTTCAGTTGTCGGACATTATTCTCGGGCGCCTGGGGGCGGGACCGGAAAGGGGAGGTCAACGAGTACGCCAGAGCTGAGCCGTCTCCGCCCCCTACCGAAAAGCCAATCGCGGCGAGATGCCGGGCGCGCGCACGCTCCTTCGAGTTTAACGGTCGCGAGGCTCCGCGCGCCCGACACTGACTTAGGCAGCGGGAGCGGCGGCCAGGTAAGCGGCTGCCAGCCTGCGTGGTGCTGCCGGTGATGGGGAACAGAGCACGGGACCTGGAAGGCAGCACCTCGGCGGCCCCCCAGCGCGCGCTCGAGGGCCGAGGCCGGAAGGCGATGGTCTTCCGACGCAACCCTGTCACATCCCTGTGGTGTGTGGGGTATTTGCTGGCTGCCGCCTGCCTTTTCAAGGCTCGGTGCCCTTGAGTGACACCCACGCGGCCCAATTGCGGGGCGCGAGATCTTGAGGGGCGGGGGGGGCTTGTGGGTTCCCCCTCATCTCCCCACCTCCGCCTACTTTCTGAGTCTCAATTGCGGCGGCGGTATCAGCGGTGGCTTGGCTTCCCCCCCGGGGCCGGCCGCTGGCTTGCGGCTCCTCACTTTGACCCGTGAGCGCCCCAGCCGTCTTGGGCTGGCTGTGAGCGCGAGCGGCGGGATCTAGCCCGAGAACCCCCGAAATCATTCCTCCCTTTTCTCGAAGCCCCCATCTTCCCGGGTCTCCTGGTTGGCTTTTCTGCTACACATACGCCCTCACCAGGTCTTCCTCTTCTCCAAACTCCCTTCTTGCTAAGGAGTTGGGGGTTCAAAAGCGTCGTATTGTGTCGGTAAGGGACTATAAAAATGTTCAGGGGTCCATTTTCTGTCGAGGTTTTCTTTTCTATTTTGCATTTTTAAGTTTCTTGGATTTACCCTCCTCGCACCACCCCTTCCCCATACCTGCTGGAGAAGGGAAGCCCCTTGGTCTTCCTAGTGGCCTTCGATCTGCATCTGGATGCCCTGGGCCCTGGGCAGGGCTGGGGGCCTAAGAGATGGGGCACACATCCCTGTCCCGGGGGGACTTGTGTTACCTGGTAGGAGACCAGGGTCATTTGACTCAAGGTATTTTCGTTGCCATTTGGGAGGCACAACCTTCTACTTTTTCAATACCCCATTGGTGGTTGCTAGTGGGATGAGCCACTGGGGAAAAATCCATTTAGTTAGGTCCGATTACCCACCTTTCACACTTGGCCGGAAGAAAAGGCTCTTTCTGATGTTTTCTTAAACTGTTCTTTGTAAGCCCAGTCCCTACCTGGGACACGGGAGTTTTGATGACCAGGGTGGTGTGCTTCTCTTGCATTCTGCGAACTTTTCATTTTTAAACTACGTAGATTTTCTTTTAATTTTTTTTCTACTTTTCCATTGACTTCCTTTTTATATGTGATTTCCCCAAGAAGGAGGCATATTGTTATGGTCAGTTTTTGCCTTTCTACACCAAGACTCAGTTAACTTGGTGAAAGGTTTATTTTTTGAGAAGTAACGCATGTCTAGAGTACAAAAGGCTGTATTATTGAATGTGTTCCTTCCACCCTCCTACCCAGTGGGGAAACGACCATTGTTAACATTTTTTAGAAAGATTTATTTATTTTTGCATACAAGAATGGGGTACAGGCCAGAGGCGTGAGGGGTTGAGAGGATTCACCAGAGACAGAGTGGGGAGCAGAACAGGCAGATGGACTAAATACACTGCTGAGGGGAGCAGTCAAGAGAGGCCTGCCAGGCCATGTGGGTCACCTCCCTGGTCAGGAATCAACTTGTGCTGCAGTGGCTTGGATTTGGTTGTAGTGTAGTTGTGTCACCAGGGAGGGCCTCCACTGCCCCTGTTGTTAACATTTTAACTGGGTATATCATGTTAAATACTCAGTTCCAGCGCATCTGTCACATGACTGCTATAAAGTGAAGGAATATGGGTACATGCTAGAATTTATTAAACTAATTAACAAGGCATGTTAGTATTCCTATTGTTACATAGTAAAACATCTAGAACCTTGATGATGAAACATAATAAATTCTGACATATTACCTTAAAAAGATGGCTACTTTTGCAAGTCACTCTTACTATATATTTTTAAATTGGGGTGTGGGTCACAGGCCATAAAAATGTTAACACCTAAGTATACATACACTTCAGTGGTTTTTAGTCCACTGTTGTACAACCATCACATTGTAGAACTTTTCTTTACCTACTTTAGATTCCTCCCACCCAGTGCCCCTAAAACAAACAAAGGGCAATCATTCCCATTCTCTCCTTCCCTCAGTTCCAGGCAACTTTCTGTCACATGAGTTGCATATTCTATATATTTCAGAAAAATGGGATCCCACGAGTGGTTTCTTTTATGTAACATGTTTTCAGTGCTCATCCAAGTCACTGCCTGGATAAATACTTCTTCCTTGTTACTGCATTCCTTGTAATGCTGTTACATGGATGGACCACATTTGCTTATCCACTTTTCAGTTATTGGACATGTGTGTGGTTTCTGCATTTTGACATTTACAAACCATGTTGTTCTCCTTAATGTAGATTTGTATGAAAGGATCAAAGTTTTCAAAGTCATGAAATGACAGTTGCTAGGCTTAGTGGCTTTTTATAGTAGTATTTTTTCCCCATTTGTTTTCAGACTCTTGAGAGCTTAGACTATTTCCCCGTTCTGAATGTTAGCAACTGAGAACGCCTGTAGATGAAGCAGCTGAAGATGACTTGGATTCAATTTCTTCAAACAGTGAAAGAACCTACTTTTTCAAATAAGAGAATATAACAACTTCTGTACACTATGGAAGATTCTGACTTTACGAAAACCTTACCAAAAACCTCATCTTGTCTAGAATCTGATATAAAAAATTCCCCCCATTCTCTTCAACTGAACTTAAGTACTAATAGGTAAGAATGGGGAAGATAGGTATTATTAACAAGGTAACCACAAAGCCAAGTAACTTTATTTGTGTAGTTTACTAGTATACTCAGATAGTGTTATAGTTACTAATTTACATTAGAAATTGCGAACTATGATCAGGAACTGTTTAAGCATAGTTTTAGTCCTTCCCCCAGAGATATTTATAAATACTTTTGTGTGGGGGACATCTTGAAAAGGAGCTTTTTCTGCTAGTTGTAATTTTCTTCACACTTTTTTTTTGGTTTGTTTGTGGTAAATTACAAAACTTAATCTTTATATGAAGTTGCCTAAATAATATTTGTACATTTTAAAAAAAGATTTATTTATTTATGCATACAGAACTGGGGTACAGGCCAGAGGTTCAGGGGTGGTCAGAGGCTTCATCAAAAATAGAGTGGGGAGCAGGACAGGCAGATTGATGAGGCACACTGCTGAGGGGAGCAGCGGATGATACAGGAGAGGTCTGCAGTGCCGTATGGGCCACCTCCGGGAGGCAGGGCTATTAGGAGGAGAACATCCAGAAGAAGCAGGCACAGGGCCACAGAGACAGCAGCCGGGCCATGTGTGGAGGGCAGGTGTCCATCCACAGACCTTGAGGAAAGTGGGCTGTAGATAAATGAATTCCTTAAAGATACATGTTCATTCTTTGCTCTCAGAAATGACTTAAGGCAGTTTTCAAGAATATATAAAGAAATGACTTAAGGCAGTTTTCAAGAATATATAAAGTAAAAGTAAGCAGAAATGAAGGTGGGTGGAGGAGAGACAAGAGTAGCGTGGACAGTAGTGGTGAGTGCTGTCTGCCTAGATGATCTAGGCCCAGTTGGTGGAAGCTAGTTTCCGCTGACATTTGGTGGCCCCTTTGATGCCCACTTCTACCAGATGTCTCTTGGGATTGTGTTTGGTTGCCTGGAGAAGCCAAATTGCCTATAGAAAAATTGTGTAACCCATCTTGTGCTTTGTACATTGTCCATGTGCTTTGTGGCTGGCAGTTAAATAGGCTAAAGTTAAACTTGAAGGTGACATAGTCCCTTATGGACAAGCATACATGGTCTTTCCCTGAATTCTTACTAGTATTTCTCTGATCCTCTGTTATTTTACTATGATTTTCATTAGTATTAATCTTTTTTTTTTTGCATCTAAATTATTTTTAGTATTAATCTTTTTAAAAATAAACTGTATATCAAAGCAAGGTACCAATAAATAGGTGAAATGACCGATGAGTGACTGGATTTAAAAAGATTTTTTTTTTTTTTTTAAGATTTATTTATTTGTGCATACAGAACTGGGGTACAGGCCAGAGGCTCAGGGGCGGTGAGAGGCTTCACCAGATACAGAGTGGGGAGCAGAACAGGCAGCTCGAGGAAGTACACTGCTGAGGGGAGCAGCGGGTGGGTCAGGAGAGGTCTGCCACACCATGTGGTCACCTCCAGGGCAGGCGGGAATCGAACTCATGCGGAAGTGGCTTTAGATTCTCAGTGCAGTGCTTTAACCCGCTGCGCCACCAGGGAGGGCCAGGAATTTAAAAAGATTTTAATGTCTTTAGTTATGCTTAGTGTTTTTATAAAACAAATCTGAAATAAACTCATTTCAAATTTGGGAAAGCAGTCCTGAAAAGAATCAGTGCTATTTTACACCCTGAATAGGCTAAATAACACTGAATATTTGCTGCTAATTTGCTTGGCACAATATTTATTCAAAGACAGTGCAAAAGATAAGTATCAGCTTATCACACCAAATTAGAGGGAATCCAACTAACAAGATTGACTATAATTCTGGGCAGTGGGGAAAGAAAAAATCTCTATAATAAAGACTGTTCTGAAACGTATGTTACCCATGCATTAATCCTCTGGAGTAATTTAGATGGAAGAGGCTGGACATTTTTATTATTATTTAACAGATACCAAGTTTCTGCTGGAACTTTGGAATCACCTCTCACTTCTGAGAAAGGTCTTTCTGTTATGTTCTTTTAAAAAATAAATGAGTGCTGTTTGTCTTTTTACTGCTACTTTCCTTTCCTGGACAAACTGGTGATCAGATTTTCAACAAATGAGGTGCTATTAAGAAGGATTAAATATCAGTGGTTTTGTACTGCTCTGCCGATTGTTGAACTGCTGAATTATTCAGCACTTTGGTAGAATGAAGAAAACCATTTGAATTATTTATGTTTCCACAGAAGTAGTCCCCACCTGAGGACAAATGGGGTGTCCTCATTCTCAGGGAAGACCAGACCATCTGTCGTCCAAGGTACATTTGAGGTCCTGTCGTCTTTAATGCAAGAGCTACAAAACGGTGGAGAGACTGACTCAGAACTTTGGGAAAACTCTGAGGTATTTAGTTTTATTTTACTTTTGGAATGAATAATTCTCTTTTTGAACAAGTCTCTACTGAACTCCAAATTATTAGGCACTTACATCCTAGGGAACATGTGCGTAAGTTACTGCTAGAAGTGAAGGGGCCAAGTGTGTTAATTGAGGAAAAGTTTTGGATGAATACAAAAAATATGAACAGATGTACAGGTTTAACAATATACTCATTGTTAGACATTACTAATTTATATCTTAACTGGGAACTAAAGTATTTTCTTCAGGGAAATGAGAATTCAAAATCACTAATACTGTTGCTGATCCTAAAGTTTTAAGTCACTTATATGGAATTGTACTTTATAAAACCAAGATTCTTTAATACCTTATATTTCATTGTGATATGTGAGTTGTACTGATTTCCATGTCAGTGTTTTTTTTTTCCTTTGGTTCATAGGTTAAATTATGACATAAAAATTGAACAGTTAAAAGAATATATTTAAATTTTACTTCATAGAATTATGCCCAAGAAAGACTTAGCAAGGATAGGTTTGGTAACACTTTATAAATGTATAAAACAAATATTATAAGCCCTCCCTGGTGGCGCAACAGGTTAGGGCACAGCACTGCAAGCTGGCTGCAGCCACTTCAGTGCGAGTTCGATTCCCGACCCCAGAGGTGATCCACATGGTGCAGACCTCTCCTGTCTTGTCAGCTGCACCCCTCCGCAATGTACTTTGTTGATCTGCCTCTTCTACTCCCCACTCTGTGTCTGGTGAATCTTCTCACCACCTCTACACCTCTTGGCCTGTATGTACCCCAATCTGTATGCTTAAATGAATAAATCTTTAAAAAATATATTATTGTAGAGCAACATATTAAGTTACGTTCAGAGCACTAAAAGTTGTTTTAAATGTTAATTATGCTTTTCAAACTATATCGTGTTGCTCTTCAGAATGTAGAATAAATGGGATGCAAGTTCCCTTAGTCTAAGAATTAAGTAGCAACCACTCCTAAGTATAACTACTTGTAGTCATTACCCACTCCTAAGTAAAGGTAATGACTACTTATAGTCATTACCTACAGTCACTATAAAAAATTGACTGTATTACTGCAAACTTAACAAAAATTGAGTTCTAATATTGATACTTGTAACTTTTTTCCCTATGACAATCAGTATCTGCTAATGTTAAAGACCTTTAAATGCCACACTTCAATGGAATGTTTTATGAACTGTCCCCACTGATATAGATTAGCTTATTGTACTGAACTGACATCCTTTACAAAACTGAGGCACTGATTTCTGGCTAATTCAGGTTGATTAGGAGTTGTTATTTTTAATATATTGAAGTCAGCATCTTAGAATCAGAATATATTTATGAATTTAAGATGCAGCATTTATGAACCAGAATACCTGCCAGCTACTTAATAAATCTTTTAACATTTGAACCAGTTTCTTAACTTTCTGCCCTTCTTTCTTTTTTATCTGTATTATAACGAGGTTGTTTTTATTATTTTTGACAATAACTGATAACTTAGTTTTTGTGATATAAACATAGAGTTGATTGTTTAATGAAGCATTTATGATATTTCTTACTTTTGATCTGGTTATTTCAGTAGTTTCTTGATTTAGTGTATTTTTATAGCATAGAAACCACTTGTTTTAGTGCAACATTTTAGAAAGAAGTTGTTGGGTGAGTTCTTTGAGAGTTGTCCTGTATATTCTTTTTGGAATAAAGAAGGTCTGATTTTTACCACTTTGGGGGGACACATTTTTTGTGTGTTGTTGTTTTTTTTTCTTTTGTTTTCTTTCTATAAGAAGTACATGTTACTTCGATAAGTTAAAACGTTACCATGCCTAAAAATGCAAAATTGAACTTCATAAGAACTACACCAGAGGTTTTTAAAATAACATCAATTTTTATTGTTCTGAAATGAAGCGCACTGATAGAATAACCTGCCTGCCCTCACTGAACAAGAATCCTTATCACATCCTGAGTGTGGTATAAAGGAGGATAAAAGTTCTTTTATTATTTTTTTTATTTTTAAAGATTTATTTGTTTATGCATACAAGAACTGGAGTACGGGCCAGAGGGTGTGGGGGGTGAGAGGACAGGCAGAACAGACAGATCAACTGAAATATACTGCTGAGGAGAGCAGCAGGGAGAGAGAGAGGTCTGCTGTACCATGTGGGTCACCTCCCTAGCTGGGGATTGAACTCATGCTGCAGCAGTTGCCAACAGCTTCATAACAGGGCCTAACCCCTGTGCCACCAGGGAGGCCCTAAAAGTTATCTTTTATAAAATGATAAGTATTGCAACACCTATGCATTTGGTGGGGTTGGGGGTCTAAACAGAGGACATGGCAATGCCATGGAACCTCTCACCAGTGCAGCCCCTGCTCATGTAGACCCAGCATTGCACGGGCACCTGATATCCTGAAACAGGGGCCACTTGCTCCTGACAGTGGGCTGGGCCAAACTTAAGTTCTTGGCAGTTGTGTTCCTAGATGATTGGTGACTTGAAAATTGCAAAATACATGGGAGTGGGAAGCAGATGTTGGACATAGTGGAGTGTCGGCAGTGTGAGGTGTTCCTTAGGCCAGACTGCAGCCGCCGCTTAGGTTATAGTGTTGGGAACCTAGGGTGAATGCCCAAGTTCTCCAACAGCATGGAAAATACAGGTCATCTAAATCACTTCAGTCTGCAATGAATGATAGTCCTTAATTATGAAGTGACTGTTACTATACTTATAACTTTCTTTTTTTTTAAAGGTTTATTTATTTATGCATACAGAATTGGGGTATAGGCCAGAGGTGGAGAGGCAGTGAGAGGGCTTGCCAGAGACAAAGTGGAGAGCAGAACAGGCAAACTGACATAGTACACTGCGAGCAGTGGGCAAGACAGAAGTCTGCTGTGACGCGTGGATCACCTCCCTAGCTGGGGATCAAACTTGTGCTGAAGCAGCTGAAGTTAGCTTCATAGGTTGTGCCACCATGGTGGGCCCCTTGTAACTTTCTTAAGTTTATTTAAAGTTAAAATAAAACCTAACTGGTGATAAAACCTAACTAGAAAGAACAAAATCTTCTCCACTAGTTTATATGCTGGGTTAGCTCTGTTCATTTGTATCCTAAATAAGAAAATTATAATAAAGCTGTGATTAATGCAAGTGCTCATACAGTGTAAAGTCATTTTTTGTAATTAAGTTGTTATTCTTTCATAACTGTGGTTTAGTTTTGTGTGAGTAGTAACTTTATCAGGCTAAAAATAGCCCCTAAAGTGTTGCTTAAATTTAATAACTTAATAAGGCAACTATGTTGCCTGATTATTTTCTTTTTTGCTTCAATTAGTAGAACACACTTCATGTTTATAGGTTGGTTGAGAAGGTGAGGACTATCAGTCTGATCTCATCTACCTTGTCCCAAAGTTAGCAGGTTTAAGTGAACACTTGCAGTGTCTCAGTGCAGTGCAGGGCCTGGGGTTGGAGAGGCTGACCTGGGCAGGTGCCAGCAGGGTCCAGTTGTCTTGGTCGCTGTTTGTTAAGGGCTTCCCAGCCCCTTCCCACCATCATGCAGGTTTCAGGTGACTTCTGGTGTGTTCAGTGATGGCACCAGTGTGAAGTAATCACTTGGGTGGTGTATTGAGTGCCCACTACTTCCTCAGCCTAGTGTCTTTGGTGCTGGATAGAGGGGGGCTGTGTTGGTGCTGGATAGAGGGGTGGCCATAGTGGGACACAGATATGTCACAAAAGTAAATAGAGTGAGCTCCTTTGGGGTTGTGTGAATGCTGTGAGGGAAGATGCAGAAGCCTGTGGGAAAGCACCGGTCTCTTGGGATGGTTTGGGGACTGAAGAAGTAACATTGCAGGATAGGAAGAAGCAGCCATGGTTAAGGCTAGGGGACAGAACTTTCCATGTAGGTCCCCTGATGAAGATGGCTATGACATATTCAGGGAGCTCACAGGATAGCAAGGCTGATGCCTGTTCTATGAGGGACAGAGAGGGATGGGGTGGAGCTGGAAGTATGTGGGAGCCAGGTAACCAGGGCCTAGGGTGGGACAGGCTGATCTGAGCAGGTGCCAGCAGGGTCCAGTTGTCTTGGTGGCTGTGTGTCAGTGCCAGCTTGGTGCTCTGTGTGTGCCCTGGAGTAGGCTAACCTCTGCAGAACTCCTCTCCTGCTATCTTTGGCTTTACCTGGCTCAGCGTGCTAACTGCTTTTGGGGGTCAGGATGGACCAGGACCTGAGTGGCTAGGGAGCTGCTGGAGGCAGTTCCTTGGGTTTTCAGTCTCTCTCTTTTTAAAGATTTATTTACTTATGCATACAGAACTGGGGTACAGGTCAGAGGTACAGGGGGTGGATGAGAGGATTCACTAGAGACAGTGTGGGGAGTAGAATAGGCAGGTCAATGAAGTATACTGCTGAGGGGAGCTGCTGGGAGGCCAGGAGAGGTCTGTCACACCATGTGGGTCACCTCCTTGGCCAGGTATTGAACTCGTGCTGCAGTGGCTGCGATAGCTTCATAGTGTTGTGCTTTAATCCATTGCACCACCAGGGTGGGCCCTTAGTCTATCTCAGTCCACTTGAGCGGGCAATATCTCACTGCAAAAAGTGTCTTTTACTTAAGGAACAAGTAAAAATTAGGGGCTAAGTTCTCAGGATACCAATTTCTTTCTTGTTTTATGACGTGGGGTTCTTTTTCTGGGTTCAAGTCAGTGTTTAAGAATATTCCTTAAGGAAGAGGCATGAGCTCCAAACTCAGGAGCTGTAATGTGCTCTTGGTTCTGATTAGTCAGAAAGGACACAGGTGACATCCAGCTAAGATGCCTTTGAAAAACCAGACTTGGGATCCAAGTGCAGTGGGTTAAACCAGCCCACGAAGCTGTCAGCAGGCACTGCATCATGAGTTCAATTCCTGGCCAGTGAGGTGATTCACATGGCACAGCAGACCTCTCCTGACCTGTACACTGCTCCCCTCAGCAGCATACTTGTCAGTCTGCCTGTTCTGCTCTCCACTTTGTCTCTGGTGAATCCTCTCAACTCCTCACACATCTGGCCTGTACCCCAGTTCTTGTATGTATAAATAAATGTTAAAAAAAAAAGAAAAACAGACTTGCATGGATCACCAGATTACCCAGACTTACCTTACAGTGAGAAAAGGACCTCTACACCTATGCACTTGTAGTTTTGCACTAAACGTAGTTTTCTACTTATTTAATTCAGCTTACAGATTATTATTGAACATACATTTTAAAAAGGGCATTTTCTCATTGGAATGTTTCTGTGATACATGGTGAAAAATTATTCTTTTTAAAGATTTATTTATGCATATAAGAACTGGGGTACAGGCCACAGATGTGGAGGTGAGAGGTTTCAGAGTGGGGAGCAGAACAGGCAGATTGAAATACACTGCTGAGGAGAGCAGTGGGCGGGTCAGGAGAGGGTCTGCTACACTATGTGTATCACTTCCTTGGCCTGTAATTGAACTCATGTTGCAGTAGCTGCGGATCACTTCATAGTGCTGTGCTTTAACCCATTGCATCACCAGGGAGGGCCTGAAAAATTATTTTTAACCATCTTTTATAGTGGCTACAGTTATTCAGTTTGGTGGAAAAACAATGTCAAGAACAAATCGTCGCCCAGCAGGAACAGTTCCACAACCAAGTTCAAGTGAGTTGTCATTTATCCCATGTGGCACTGGGAGGCCCCTATATTGATTCTTTATATTTAAGATTTGCTGAAGAACCAGTTCATACTTTTTTGGGGAAGATTTATTTATTTATGCATACAGAACTGGGGCACCCCAGTACCCAGGCCAGAGGTTTAGGGGCAGTGAGAGGATTCACCAGAGACAGAGTAGGGAGCCGAACAGGCAGTTTGACGAAGTACACTGTTGAAGGGAGCAGTGTGCAAGACACGAGAGGTCTGCTGCACCATGTGGGTCAGCTCCCTGGCCAGGGATTGAACTTGTGCTGAAGTGGCTGAGGCTAGCTTTGTCGTGCTGCCCTTGAACCCACTGCACCACTATGGAGGGCCCCCCGTTCATACTTTTCATAAGTTTTGTTTGTAAAGAAAAGATATCTTTAGTGTTAAAAAGTGTGGGGCTGCAGTGGCAGGGGCAGCACTAGATAGCTTCCTAGTGCTGAGACTTAACCCACTGTGCCATGAGGGAGGCCCTCCAGTATTTTCACGTTTATAAAAATGTGATATTTAATCTGTTTACTTACCAACATCTGTCACTTTATTTTCAGCATATACAGGAGGAGATCAGAAATATAGTCAAGTTACAGACCAGCAATGCTTTCTGGGCTTCCTTTGATAGTTCTTTAAACAGACAAGTATTTTCAGAAAGTCCAATGGGTTTTTTTTCTGAAAACAGCAAGAGAAATGAATCTGTCATCAGCTACCCTAAGTCCAGAGAACCTGAAATGCAGCAAGAAACCTCTACATCCCAGCCAGACTGCAGCGTGGACAGCAGCTCCTTGAGCAGCGGGTATGGTACCTTCAGTGTCTCCGAGTTAAACACCTGCAAGTCTGAGGACCATAAGGAGTACATGGAGCACAGAGAATGTGTCCCGGGATCACATGGGACCCTGGCATTGCAGGTCCAGCCACTCCCGGAGGCCGCCAAAGCCAAGAATTGTCACTTGCAGGCTACCGATGGTTTGTGCACATCTTTAAAGGAAGATACTTCCATTTTCCATGGTGAATTTCAACATACTTCTCTTGGTGAAAAGATTTCTGAAGTATACAGTGGAAAAACAAGCAGGTGAGTAGTCTCACCATCATTTGAAGGCAAGTTTTACTTGTTTATTGCACTTTGAATCCAACAAGTAAAGCTTCTAGAAGGACTGCAGGAAAATGAGATGTGCTTAATGTTATGAGAATCAAAGTTTTTTATTTGCTGCCTGAGGAAAGTTGAAACAAAAGACCAAGCTGTATACTAGTGATTCTTCTTCCAGTGCTCTGAGACTTCTCAACCCTCAAGGTGGGAGACCTGATTGGAAAGTGCCTTTTCTGTTCCCTAGTTCTTGCAAAAATTCAGGGCACAGGATTGTATCCACAGTGGATTTTTGTCAACACATGCCCATGTGATTTGAAACCAAAAATTATATATAAACATGCACAGTTTTATGTTTCTGATGTGTCTGAAGAGACTGTATTAGTTTAATGATGTCTGGATGGGCCCAGAAAACTTCTTAATAAAGGAGACTGAAGTTGAACATTTACAAAGCACATCATCTATCAGAATCTTACAACTCATCTTGAATGTGTATTTCTGAAGTGTCATCTGAAGGAAGTGGCTCGGCTGTAGCGCACAGGGTGGCCCTCAGTGATGTTGGTCCTTGGGCTCTCCATGGGAGCCGCGAAGTGGGCTGTTTGTTCAGGCCACACTGTGCTTTTAACGGGCTCTTTTTCTTTACCTTTGGGAACAGAAATTTGGAAAATGAAATTTAGGTGAACTAATAAAAATCCATTAGAAAAGCAATTCAGAGCATTTTCCACCAGCACAGCGACTCCTAGTGTTTAGTTTTATGTGAGCAGTTGACCTCTAAAAAGTAATTTGGTTTTCTCTTTTTGAATAGTAAATCTGTGACATCATGGGCTGAAAAGCTGAAGCAGAACCAACCAAAGAGCGTACACACAGAAGATTCAAAACCAACACGTGAGGGCGAGCAGGCCAGGAAATTACCCACAGGGAAGGTAAGCGACGGCCGGCTCAGTGGCTGCTGCCAGTTGACAGCTCTTTTTGGTGTCTTAAGGTTTTGGAAACAATGATTTTCTCTAAGAAATGAGGGATAAAAGACTATCAAAAGGAAGCATTTTTTTTATAACGCCCTCCTCCTCCTTCCCCACCTTCTTCCCTGCCACCCTCCCCTCCACCCTTTCCAGTGATCCTAGGCTTCCTAAGGTCCCCATCATTTGAAGCTTTGTCCTGTCAAGGATGGGGTACCCTTGTTTAGTGTGTGTAGCCTCAGCAAGGCATCAGAACATGTTTTCTCTGATCTGGGCAGACAGGTGAAGCAGGAGTCCTGACCCTCGGTGGCTTTTTCAGGCTCTCATTGAGCTTTTTACATCATTTGGAGTGTGGCAACCACTGGCAGGCCTCCCAGCCCCCAGCGAATCTTCACTCTGTCTGGGCTCTCTGGCGTTGTCTTGTGGCCTCTGCTTGTGGCCTTTCTCTCTGCTTCTGCTGTGCACTTCTGTGCTGTTCCTGCCCCTTCTCCTCCTGGCGACCCCAGGACACCACCCTTACACACCCAGCCTCTCTGCCCAGGTGTGCCCATGTACGCACACCCACACCCTATTCCAGGTGCCACTGTCAGGCACACATGCAAGAACGTAGGTGTGGGTTTCAGATGCCGATGGTGGGAGGCGGAAAATCCTGACAATTTTCACTTACCCTGTAGTGTGACAGCATGAGGGCACTGGGAGCCAGGGAATCAGGCTGTTTTTTCTGTGGCCTTACACTGGCAGAAAGGAAGAGTGTTTTCATGTGCACTAGTTTCTTTTCTTTTTTTATTTTACGATTTATTTATGTATGCATTCAGAACTGGGGTGCAGACCAGAGTTGCAGGGGCAGTGAAAGAGGATTTTCTAGAGACAGAGTGGGAGCAGAACAGGCAGATAGTCGAAGTATACTGCTAAGGGGAGCAGTGGGTAAGACAGGAGAGGGCTGCTGCAGCATGTGGATCACCTCCAGGGCCGAGGATTGAACTCGCACTGAAGTGGCTGCAGCTAGTTTGCAGTGCTGTATCCTAACCCATTGCACCACCAGGGAAGGCCTCTTTTCTGTTTTTACTTTGAATAAAAATCAGCTTAGTGGGGACTTGTCCTCCTCTGGTAAACTCGGTTTTGTGGCCTAGACATGGGTAGACACTGGTTTACTTGTTCTTTTGTGTGCTGTAATGCAGTTCTCCCCAAACCGTGCTGCTTGTCAGAGTCAGAGAAGGAGGTCCAAGAGCACCTGATAGTGACCGCAAGGGTCTATCCTCAGCCCTGAGGGTGCTGTCTGCACTGGGGAACTTCAAAAGCTTTAAGAGTTCTCATGTGCTACAAACTTGGGAGCCTTTGCCCATTTGCCCTCCTCCAGTTTTGAGAATCTGACCAGTTGATCAGGTGTACCACCAAGATGTGCCTCCCTCTCAAAGTGCGGAGAGCAGTGGCAGGGCTGTGAGGAGGGATGATTCCCTAAGAGTTTTCCTTTTCTCGTTTGCTGGACGTTATTATTTTTCCTTTATTTTATAATAGGTGAATGTTATTTTTGGTATTTGGGGAGATCATTGTTACTTCTGAATCTTAAGTCATTTTTCAAGTAATGGTGTTAGTGAAGTAAAGCAACACACCTGAGTCATTTCTTCTATAGACTTGATTCAAATTCTAGAGCCTCCCTGGTGGACCATGTGGGGATGCCACTGCGGCATCCCCAGCCAGGGAGTTGACCCACATGGCACAGCAGACCTCTCTTGTCTTACCCACTGCTCCCCACAGCTGTGTTTTTCAGTGGATCTGCCTGTTCTGTTCCCCATTCTGTCTCTGATGAGTCCTCAGCCCCTTCATCGCTGGCCTATACCCCAGTTTTTGTATTGCATACATAAATAAATCTTTTTTTTAAAAGGAATTAAAAAAAAAAACCATTGAATCAAATTCTGTGGATTCACAAAAGTTGGAATTTTCCTCTTTGTTTTATGCTTCCTCTTCTGCCATTGTTTTTCTCAGTTTTAGTAGAGCCCAGGGAATCTTGATGATCTGAATTCTCTTGGAATTCAATTCAATTTGCGTTTATATGATGCTTCTCTTTTTGGGTACTAGCTATTTTGTAGCAGTTCTTGAAATCCATATTGTTGAACATAAGGATTTTCCTTCTTTGTATCCTTGGTCCTTTTTCTTAGACAGACTTAGCCTGGCCCCAGCCTCTCAAAGTATTTAGCTGGGCTAAGGGATTGTTCTCTACAGTTATGAAACTCAGTGCTGGGCTTTGCCTTTCACAAGGTCTGTCCTGTCATTTCTCATTAAAAGCTGGTCCTATTTTCTTCAGCTGATGCCTTGTTTGCTCAGAAGAAAGGCTGCTCATAGGTGGCCTGTGAGGTGGACCCCAGCCCTTTCAGCCCCTCCATTCTGTGTTGGCAGAATGCACTAACCTTTGCACGTTAAAATTATAAAGAAAAGGACACATATGCTACTTGGGGTATTTCTTTGCTTTCTGCAGGCCTCCTCTTCTGGTCTGTTCAGTATTGAGCCTTGGCAGCATTTCAACAGATAGGAGTTTTAGCACAGATGAAAGATGGCCTGGGTTTTCTCACTTGATGAGAAAGCAGCTAAGCAGTATCCTAGAAGGTTGAGGGGTACCCACTTTCTCTGTCAGGAGGCATGCTTTCAGGTGCTTCTCTTGTAGTGGTGGTTAACAAATTAAACTTAAGTATTTAAGCAGGAATTAAAAGTTTGATGATGACAAGAAAATTCTAATAAAAACAGTCTTCATATATCTGCTTGGGAACAGTGAGAGTGCCAGAGATAAGTGACAGAGACTAGCTCAGACTTTTTATTAGAATTGCTGGTAAGAAAGAGAACAAAACAGAAAAATAACAAGACTATTTCTAAGATCCTATGATTGGTTACCAGAGTGAATAGGGAGACAGGGTTGGAGGGGGAACAGCAACAGTATGGGGGTGTTTGCAAGGAGGGGTGAAGCGGCACTTCCACACTCAAATAGTTTTATAAATTAGTGGCAAATCAACAAAACTTAGTTCCTGTTAACTATTGATTTGTGGTTTTCAGAGTTAATTATTATTATTATTATTATTATTACTTAAAGATTTATTTATTTGTGCATACAGAACTGGGGTACAGGCCAGAGGCTCAGGGGTGGTGGGAGGCTTCACCAGAGACAGAGTGGGGAGCAGAACAGGCAGATCGACGAAGTACACTGCTGAGGGGAGCAGCGGGCAGGTCAGGAGAGGTCTGCCGCGCCATGTGGTCACCTCCAGGGCAGGCGGGAATCGAACTCATGAGGAAGCAGCTTTAGATTCTCAGTGCTGTGCCTTAACCCGCTGCGCCACCAGGGAGGGCCAATTTTTATTATTTTTTTAAAAAGATTTAAAATTTTTATATATGCATATAAGAACTGGGGTGTTGGCGAGAGGTGGGGTGGGGGGTGACAGGATTCACCAGAGGCAGATTGAGGAGCAGAACAGGCAGATCTGCTGAAACATACAACTGAGGGGAGCAGTGGGCTGGTCAGGAGAGGTCTTCTGCACCATGTGGGTCACCTCCCTGCCTGGGGATCCAAATCAGGCTGCAGTGACTGCAGATGGTTTGATAGTGCTGAGGCTTTAACCCTTGCACCACCAGGGAGGCCTAATTTTTATTGATTTTTTTTTTAAGATTTATTTATATAGAGCTGGGGTACAGGCGAGAGGTACAGGGGAGGTGAAAAGATTCACCAGAAACAGAGTGGGGAGCAGAACAGGTAGATCATTGAAGTACACTGCTGAGGGGAACAGCAAGTGAGACGGGAGAGGTTTGCTGCACGATGTGGATTACCTCCGGGCCCAGGGATCAAACTCACACTGAAGCAGTTGCGGCTCACGTGCAGTGCTGCACTTTAACGTGCTGTGCCACCAGGGAGGGCCCTTTTATTGTGTTTTTAATAATAAAATAATTATAGTTTTTATAGTAATTTCTATACTAAATGACTTTCATTCCAAGCACCTCAGATTTCTTTTGAGTCCATTTTCATTCTGAACTCATTAACACCTGCTCTCAGTTTTCTCCTTCTAGCTTCAAAATAAATTTCTATGTATCACACAGGAAAGTCCTTCACTATTGATTGCTATCATGTTGCCTTCTCATTTTGGGGGCTTGAGGGGAACCCAGGCTTGCTTTCCTGTGAACCCTGGAGGCTTCTCAGTACCTGGCTCCATAGCTTCTCCCAGTTCTTGGGCAGCAGCTGTATCTGGGAGTTTCAGCTGTTGGCTGATGGTTTTCTCTTTTGAATTGTAGTCTGTTTTCACTGTTGCTGCTGGTCCACATGCTTTTTACCTTGGTAAGCCAGAGGGAAGCCCACAGTCTTGGACGTCTGATTCAGGAGCAGGTATGGTATGTGCGTGCTGTGATTTGATACTATTCTTCTTTTTTTTAAAGATTTATTTATGCATACAGAACTGGGGTATAGGCCAGAGGTGCAGAAGTGGCGAGAGGATTCACCAGAGACAGAGTGGGGAGCAGGACAGGCAGACTGGCTAAGTACACTGCTGAGGGGTCAGTGGGTGAGACAGGAGAGGTCTGCTGTGTCATGTGGGTCATACTTAACTCCCCCTCCAGCCCCTCTGCTGGGTATCGAACTTACACTGAAGCAATTGCGACTAGTTTCCCTGTACTGTGCTTTAACCTGTTGTGCCACCAGGAGGGCCTAGGTACTATCTTCTTAGTTTTGTTTTTTTTTTAATTATTTATTTATGCATACAGAACTGGGGTACAGGCCAGAGGTGCAGGAGCGGTGAAAGACTTCACCAGAGACAGAGTGGGGGGCAGAACAGGAAGATTGGCGAAGTACACTGCTGAGGGGAGCAGCAGGTGGGTCAGGAGAGGTCTGCCGCGCCATGTGGTCACCTCCGGGGCAGGCGGGAATTGAACTTATGCGGAAGGGGCTTTAGCTTCTGAGTGCAGTGCTTTAACCCGCTGCGCCACCAGGAAAGGTCCATTCTTCTAGTTTTCTTTTAATAACAGCTATCTGCATTTCTCATGGCTGATAGTTACAATTTACTGGAAGGGCTTTGCACATGTGCTGTGTGTGGTGTTCCTGTGGCTAATTCCTTCCTTAGCTGACAAGTTCCATAAAGATGAAAAGAAGTGCTTTTGTGCTTATTTCAAACAGCTGCAAAAATTGCCTCACCATTTTTCATGCTCCAGAAAGAATTAAGAGATTCAAACCCTCACGATCACTCTTGACTCTGTGGTGAGCTTATTTCAATCCTGAATTCTTTACCTAGTGACTTCTTCCCTCCACATTCCCGCACACAGCTGACCAGGGTTAGTCTGGCTTTATGGAACTTCCCAGAACCTCCCTGCCAACCCTGTCCACCTTCACACTGTCACCCTCCCAATGTTCCCATCACCTCCTGGTGCCATTTGGTTCCTGCAACCTTGACAACCTCCGTACCCCCCTGCAACCTTCTATCTGCTCTCAGGAGTGGCCAAGCCTGATCTTTTTTAAAGGTAAGTCAGACCAGTAACTGCTGCTCCATGCCCTGTGGAGGTTCTCCCCAGAATGTCTAGAGAAGCACATGCTGCAGGACAGAACCCAGGCAGCTTCGAGAAAGGGACAGCCCTTTCTCTGTTTCAGCAGGAGGCTGTTTGCTCAGACATGTTCTCATTTTATATCTTTTGCACTGGAGCACTCCTCTCCTCATTGCGGGGCAACCCTCTCATTTATTGGTAAGGTGGCAACTCCTTAATTGGTACCCACAGATTGAGCCCTGATTGCCCCCTGCATACAGCTACATGTTCTCTTTTACTTGGTTTTTACCTTTTATCACCTTCTAAAGTACTACCTACTAAAATGCTTATCACCTTCTAAAGTACTACCTACTAAAATGTGTGTTTTGTAAAATACTGCACAAACTACCATGTGATTACCCACTGTGTGTGTCTCACTACTGCCCATCCCCCCTACGGTAAATGCTCATTAAATATTTTTGATTTATCAAGTTCTTTTTTTTCTTTATTACTCTGACCTAGTCATAAAGACATGGTCATCCTTTAAAAATTATTTTACTTGCACTAATTTATCTTCACCTTCAATAAGATAGTATTTCAGTTGTAAATACAGGGTCATTGAGTCAGGACTCATAGTAAGGGGTTTATGTGAGTCATTTATCAGAAGACATCCCATGTCCAGATAGCCAAAAATGAGTTCTTTCCCAAATGTGATTTTCTTTAGGTAAGTTTTTCTCGAAGGCACTTTTTTCTGTTTCCTTACTCTAGTCTCCTCTGGCGGTGTGTCCACACTAGGACTGACCTACTGGGCAAAGGAAAAGAGCCACATGCGTCCCTGTCTGCCCCGGACATTAGAGGAGGCTTCTGTGCCACCTTCCGAGGAGCTCTCTGCGAGCCAGGTAGTTTAGATCATGTGTGAGTATGGGAGAGCGAGTGTTACACAGTGGTAGTTAGAGACTCCATTGCTAATTTTGTATTTTTCAAATTGTGACACACTGACAAATACAGGGGCTTTGCATCATGCTATCTGGTTTCAAACTCAGTCACTGCCTTTGTGATCTTAGCAAAGTTACTTTAAAATGAAATTCAAAATGCCTGGATCGTGTTTTCTGAAATTAAGTGCTTATTATTTTGGATATGGTAGTAGGTCTCCAGATGAACTTTGTCCCTATTCCTGGTGTTGGTTTTTCCTCCTATTATCCTGAGGAATGTAAATATTTTGTTTACTTCAGAACAAAGAAATGAAGCTCACCAGTCTGTCCTTCAGTGTCCATATCTCACTTGTATGTTTTCATCAGGTGATGAGAGTGAAGTTGGGAAAATAGGGGTCCAGTCAGAGTAACTAGGGGAACCACATGTGACCTGAGTGACAGACAGGACAAGAGGCAGCCAAGGTCCTGGCAAGTATCAGAATCCAGGGACAGGGGAGCCACCTTCAGTCCCTGGATTTTGGGGCAAAAAAGAAGATACATAAAGAGAAAGGAAATGGGGCTGTCAGGGCTGAGGGCCAGTGGCTTTGCGGTGGCCATGCTGCCTGGCTCCAGGGTCAGGACGTGATGCTAATTTTCTTTAAATTGGCTCTTGAATGCCATCAATTTTTTTTTTTTAATTTTATAACAGTTTATTTTTACATCATTTTGTAC